TTGTCATTTTATGATCACATCCCATCAAAGTCTGAACTGACCACAAAAAATGGGAAAATCTACAAACTTTGCACAAGCTTAGACAATGCCAAGCGGGGTGGGCACAATTCTTTTCTCATTTCACCTTTCATATCTATGTTCCTAAGTTATAAAACATAAGATTCTCTATCATGAAGGCCTGAATACTTCCCCTTTTGAGGCTCACCCCCACTTCTGAGATGGCTAGTTTATTTTCCATATTACCTAGTACTGCTCAATAATCTGATTTCTAACAGAGTCACTCAATTCACACTGTGTTTTTTGGAAGGCCCTTTTCAGCCCTTAAGCTCCATTTTTCCTTTGCTGATCACCCAAATCCATTGGAAAACTGAGGACAAATGCCACTTTGGAGCAGTACCATTGTTGCTATATAAGCAAGACAGCTGGCCCAGTCTTTTGCCTATGGCTGAGTTTACCTATAATAATACCTCAGTTCATTCTTCTACTCACATGTCACTGTCTCAGATCTCATATAATTACCATCCACACCTGTTGCTTAATGCCTTCCCACCATCTCCTGTTTTGAAAGCCTTGGGTTTTCCATAGAAACTCCAAGCAGCACTAGATCTTGTCAAAGCTTCCTACAAATAAACTGCTAACCAAAATTGTCAAGAAGCCGTACCACATTGCTTTTGGAAACTGCATATGGCTTTCTACCAGATACTTTTCCTCTAGAGGACTACCTAAAAAGCTAGATGACAAGGTTATTGGACTATTCCCCATAAAAATACTAATAAAATTTGTCATTTTCCACCTGCAGTTTCAGCTAATGAAAGTAATCTGATTTTAAAATGTTCCTTTTGGGGTCGTAAAGGTTCTTGCCCCATATGCACCTCTGCCACCACACCTGTCTTGATGATGGGAGAGGAAGAATTTGAGGTACGGATTATATTTTGGATTCCTAGTGAAGAGAGGCAGAGTGAAATATGTAATTAATTGAAAAGGTTATTTAAACAGAGAGATTGTAGGAATCAGATGATGATGTTCATGTTCCCAACCTATTCCAACAGGTCCATTTGCAATAGCTGCACAAGCACAAATGACCTGACTGGATTTGAATCTACTGATTCTTGGATCTGAGGTGGAGGGATCCTGGTTTGGGGAAGAAGGCAAGTGATAGGGTTACTACCGACAGAGGGATGCAGCACCCTATGCCCAAAGCTGTGGGAGAAGCTTTTAAAAAGGGGAGATAAATGAAGAAAATGCAACATTGATTGAAGTTCCTCCCTCTGAGGTGTTTGTTCTTAGGGGGAGATAATTCCCCTCTGCATATTCCCCTACCCATCCTTAAGGGGAAGCTGTGGAATGGGAAGAGTTGCTATGTAAGTGTTATAAGTCCTCTCAGAATCTTCTGTCTACTTTCTGTAGGAAGTAGAAATTACTTTTCCCCAACCAAATCCCCTGGTTGGTTGGGGGAAACTTTGTCTAATGAAATAATAGATGCAGATTGAAGGACATTTTAAATGTAGAGTATTATTGTGCCTGGAAAGAATTTGTATAGGATAGGGTGTTCATAATGACCTCAAAAATAATAAATGAAGATTGAGGGACATTTCTAATGTAGAATATTAACATTCAACCCAGGATTGAGCAAAATATGAAAATATTTGAGATATCTATATTTTCCCAAAATCAGTTTGCAAGAGATGAACGGGGAAAAATCTGACTTGATATTGGCATCTGCATTATCAATGCTTTAGGAAGGAATAGGTGAAGTGATTGTAGACATGCCATTCTTTGCATGAGGAAAAGTGTCTGGAGTATTTGTAACAAATTTATTTGGAGAAAACTAGGATGCAGCAATTGTAAAAAGAATATGCGGATCTAAATATGTTCTGAGCATGTAATTCTATTGCTCTATTATTCTGAAAGTTCTTTACCCCAGGATGTTTTCTACTTCTTCACAACAAAACAAAGGATGTAATGTTAGAGGAGCAAATGATTTTTCTTCCTTGTAATTGCAATTCAGACATTTAAAAAATCACTTCTTTGTGCTTTGGAACAATAACAACAAAAGTAAAATGCAGTGTAGGTCTTTATCCTTGCCCTCAATATTAGAAATATTTGAATTATGAGAACTTTCAGATTCTTCTAGAATGGGGTGAATTTGTGGGTCAGAGTCTGTGTAGTTTGCAGGATGTGGTGCAATTTGGAAGCCAACCCACCAAGAAATTTCTAATCCCAATCACAACAGGCTATACAAGCAGAGTAGCAGGGATTAGTGCTGATGGTCTCCACCCCTCTCTTCAGTCCTATTGACATACCTTGATGCTAATTTAGACCTGTGCAAGGATGTTGCATACCTTCTTGTGAAAGACCTGTGGGTCTGCGTTGAGCAAGGGAGAGAGGGAGAGAAAGCAAGACAGAAATCTTAAAAACTGAATTGCCCACTTCAGTGATTTCCAAGCTGCTATTATGTTTCTAACCACGGTAATTGGCTTTACCATTTATTAATGGCTTATGCTAAAGAGACAAAAAGAGGCAAAATTCAGCAATCTTTTTTTGTTAGTTCTGGGCTCCATTGAGTACAAGACTGCTTGCTGACTTGGGGGATCAATTGATGTGCCGCCCTATATTTAAGAGCTTGCAGATGTTCTAAAGACTTATCTTGGATAGCCCATGAGGTGTGGAATGAATTCTTGTGTTTGGATCTTTTGGTGAAAAGAATATGCTGCTAGCTGATGAATAAAAAGCAGTCTCTTAGCTCTGGTTCTTGGCATTCTCAACATAGATAACATAAAAGATTCCTCTTGAACTCATATAATAATTCTTTGAGTTATGGCCTTAATTTAACCAAACAAAAAACAAAACGCAAAAGATTAATATGCTTATATCCTCCAGATGTGTTAGAAATATGCTCACTTAGCTTGCTCTCCAGGAATATGGGAATTGTAGTCCAGTACATCTAAGAACAACTGGTTAGGGATGGCTGGTTTAATATATGAACTGATTATGTTTTAGCAGAATTTCTACAGTGACAATAAATGTTTTATGACTATTCGAATTTATATCTTAGATAGATAGAACAAGCCACACTTCTTTCATAAAGAGTTGTGAATATAGTTTTTGATTTCTTTCCTGTGTATACATTATGAAGCCAGTAAAATGGATGGCCAGTTCTGATCCATAAGCTGCTATACAAAGTAGTCACTTTTTATTTTAGAGAGAAAGGCTTCTACTGTATGTAAAGATCAATTGTAAAGAACAAATCTATGAAATTCCCTCCCAGCTATGGTTTGAGAGAGAACTGGTATAAAATGTTTTACTGACAGTATACAACTCTGCAATAATAGCCAAAATAGACAACAGCAATAAAGGTTGGAAATGCCATGAAAGAGAAGGAACATTCTACCATATGTGGTGGACATGTAAAAAAAATCCCAAAAGTATTGGAAAGATATTCACAGCACTATTCAGAGAATTTTAGGGACCAAATTTGAAATGAAGCCACATTGTTTTTAATTAGGCATAATTCCAGAACACATCAGTAAAACATACCATAATTTATTAAGATACATGCTTATGGCTGCAAGAATAAACTTTGCACAGTGCTGGAAAAAAGACATAGTACCAACAATATCAGGCCGGGAGCTTAAACTTGGAGAATATACAGCAATGGCAAAACTAACAGTGTGTGTGTGTGTGTGTGTGTGTGTGTGTGTGTGTGTATGTATATATCACAGAAGTTTAACTAAATTTAAGCAAGAATGGCTTCCATATATATTACATATTATACAGCAAGGTAAACCACAAATATTTAGAGTATGGTTTCTAAACCTTATGCCAACAGGTACTGCAAACTGGTTGGAGTACAAAGAAGGGGGAAGTCAGAAATTAAATAATTACTTATATTATTTTTAGGGGTTTTTTTCTTTTCCCCTTTTTCTTCTTTTTTAACATTTATAAACAATAATATTGTGGAGATTTTGGGATTAAACTCAAAAATTTATACTTTTTTATATAATAAAAATTACAATATATTGTACTTGAAACCTTTACTAATGTTATATTGAGTAATAATTGCACAATCTCAGTAATATCTGTTCATTCATAAATAATACCTTTTTTGAAAATATACCTTTGTTTTAAAATAATGGACTAAAATAATAATAATAATAATAATA